ATAGGAAGAGATGGAGATTTGGAAAGGACCTAAAACATCATCTAACCCAGCCCTCTCCTTTTACAGATGAGGAAATGGAAGCCAAGAAAGATGGATAGAGCACAAGGCTAACAAGTGGCTAAGTTCAGATTTGAACCCAGATTCTCTGACTTTTAAATAAAGCTCTCTTTCACTATCCCAAAACTTGAAATAGATCAATCCTCTATTTGTTGGGTTCCTTCTCTCACCAGTGATTCATTTTTAATAAATTAGGTGCCATTCTTTCAAGAGTTCCCCATTCACTGGCTAACTCTGATTACAGGAAGTCAGGCATAGAGTAAATAATAGTTCCATAAAGCTCTATGATTGATGGCATGCTCTGCCCTTTAAAACATCTTCTGCTGCTGTTCCACTGAGCATGTCTGGACAGCTGCACTTAGATCTCTCTGCTCAGCCCCAAAGGGAAGGAGTTGAGAAAAGACATATGAACTACCCAGACAAATTACTTTTCTTCCAGACACATTTGTAAAAACTGACGGGAATCCACTTCGTCACAGGTGATGTAACAATAAAGTCTGGCAAAATATCCTCCATGGAAAAAAAAGGACAGACAGTCTCAGAGAGGCAGGAGAAGGGGAGAAGCCAATGGATTGTTTTCTGGAAATGAAATGAGCCATTTGTTTAGCCAAGCAAGAGTATCAGTCATGGGATTGATAACTTCAGCCACACAGGACAAGTATGTCCAAATAGATTGTTCTCAGAATCCAGCAAATTCTTCTCCCCAGAAAAAAGTAGAAGTGGCAGAAACATTCCATCCCTAGCCATCGGAATTTTACTAATGTAGAGAAAACAATGCCCCAAAGATTTAAAAAATCAGTTATTTTTCCTTTTCATATCTCCCTGGTTTGGGGAAGCTGGGTGATACAAAGGGTAAGACTGCTAGACTTGGAGACAGAAAGACCTGAATTCAAATCCTCCCTCAGACACTTACTAGGTGTGTGACCCTAGGCAAATCATGTAACTCCTCTCCTCAATTTCCTCATCTACAAATGAAGGGTTTGGATTTCATGACATCTAAGGCTCCTTCCAATTAGACTGAGCCCCTGGAGAGTAGAGCTGTCCCTTGTCTTTCTCTGTATGTACCAGCACTTCGCACAATGCTTGGCACATAATAGACACTTTACTAAATGTTTATTGACTGACTTCTAGCTCTAAATCTCTGATCTTATGTTCTATTTATGAACTGGAAGTCTGCCCCTGTGAGAAGAAGAGGTTAGGCTCTGAGAGCTTTTCCAGCAATAACCGACATTTATGTAGCTATTTTAAAGTTTGCAAGTCGGCTCCCCTTCCCCTCTGACCTGTGAGCCATGTTTATGCCCATGAAAGGAGTAAAAAGAGGCAGCTGGCAGGCTTCCTTAGTCCACATGTATCAGAAATTGTCTCTTAGTATGCTGAGTTAGCAATCTGAGGGCAACCTGAGGGTAATGGGGATCTCCATTTCCTGAAAGGTTTGCAGTTTCCTTGTAGTGTGTGTGGTCTCTAAATGTCTTCTGTTCATTGATGGATCCTTCAAGTGGGCAGCAGCAGTGACCCCGACTCCAAAGCTACTGTTATACAACATTTGCCTCTCCCAGATAATTGACCAGGATGAAGTGAGCAGTCTTTTACTGTTCAACATTTCAATGCCAGCTGCAACTAAAATGGTGATACCATCAGAGTCTGGTTTTGCCATTCTCCCTTCTTCCCTTTCAGTAGCCTCTGCCTTCTGAGATCTCGTCCATCCCATCCTCTCCCCTGGAATACTTGCTCTCCTGCTGCCTCTAGATGACTATGGGAAAACTAGGCTTTCTCATGCTCCAAAACTACTTCTCAAGTCCCTCCATAACCCCATAAAAATTCCCATTCCCTCGAGGCTTTGCTTAGCTAATTGGCAGATAGCGACACAAGCTAGGAAATTAATTTGTAGTAATCAATAGTCAGTACTCATTCAACATTGGGGGTAGAAAGCTGTTAAAGGAAGATGTTTAGTAAGTTAAAGGATGAATCTCTAGTGATGGAAATTCAGCTACCATGACAGGTGATAATAGCCAGTATTTATACAGCATTTTATGTTTTGCAGAGTTTTACATATTTTATCTCATTCCATCCTTAACAACAACACTATGACGTAGGTGCTATTATTTTCCCCCTTTTTACAGAGAAAGAAATTGAGCCACAGAAAGGTTATGTGACTTGCTCAGAGACCTACAACTAGTAAGTGTCTGAGACCAGATCTGAACTCAGGTCTTCTGGATTCCAGCTCTCTAACCACTGTGGGTGGGCAGGAGTGACTGAGGAGACCTGAGGGTGGAAGGTCGACTGTAATTAGGGAAAAGCCCAGGGAGGTGACCAGAACATCAGGCTCAATTACTTGTGGGTTGTGACAAGAGAAGAAAAGGGGTCATGATGACCCTGGAAGAGGCTCCCTGCCCTCTAGACTTGCCCCTTCTAGGCAACAAGAAGCTTTTATTACATCCCAGGATCTTTTATCCTCCTCAAATCAGGTAGTTCACAAAAGTAGGTTAAGGCCACTGATTTGGATGGCAATCTCTAGCAATCTTATCTAATTAGTTTCCCACTTCTGATGACACAGGAGGGGAGATGCTAAGAAGCCAAAGAATATCCAAGATGTCCCATCCCCATATCAATAAGGAAGATTCCAGCAATGAGCAAGCCTAGAAAAAGGATAGATGGACTCAGCAGAAAGAAGGAGCATATTTAGAACACAAAAGCCTGATGGATCTCAAAGAGGCAGAAAATAAAGTTTTACAGACTACCACAAATACCAGACCCACTCAGTGGATTTCAATCTAAATTCAACAGAAAAATGAAATATAAATATGCACACAGATTAACTCAGAAAAAGGAAATGGATTTCAGGCCATCCACTGAGGTCAGAAAAGTATAGAAATGTTGAAGTCATCTTGGTTCTTCAAAGGACTTCATATGGAAAAACTTTTTTTGTTTGTTTTATTGATGCCTTTTGTTTTTACATCACAGTCATTTCTAAATCTATCCCTTTCCCCAAAGCCTTCCCAGGGAGCTCTTATTTATAAAGAATACTGGTTTTTTTTTAATAGCTCAGCAAAACTAATCAATATATCAACCATATTTGGCAATATCTACAACATTCCATAGCCACGGTCCCCCAGCTCTTCAGTGAAAAGAGGAAATGCACTTTCTTGTCTTTTCTGTGGGACCAAGTTTAGTGATTATGATGACACAGCAATTAGGGAAACTGGAAAGCAGTCTGGCAGATATTAAACTTAAGCCATATCCACAATAAATTCTAAATCAATATATGATCTTAATATTAAAGATCATACCATAAAAAGTAGAAAAGAGTCAAATCATATTCCCTTCATAGCTCTGGGCAGGAGATGTATTACTAACCAAACAAGGGATGGAGGTAATTGCAAAAGAAAAAATGATTACATGAAACTGAAAAGCTTCTGTACAAACAAAATTAATGCACCTAGGATAAGAAGGAAAACAGTAGGATGAGGAAAAAATAATTGCATCAATTTTCTCAGATAAGGGTTTGGTATCTAAGATACATAAGCAATTCAGCCCAAAAGTCTTCCCCAAACAAATAAGTAGTCAAAGGATATGAACAAATAATTTTCAAAAGAAGAAAGGCACATTATTAATAATCACGTGAAAGAATGCTCCAAATTACTGATAATAAGAGAAATGCAAATCAAAATAACACTGAGGTTTCACTTCACACCCTACAAATTGGCAAAGATGACAAAAGATGGGAATAGTCAATGTTTGAGGGCTTATGAGAAGATGAGCACACTAATGCATTGCTGGTGGAGTTGTGAAATCACTACAGTTTTTGGGAAACAATTTGGAATTGTCCATATAAAGTGAATACAGTGTTCAAATCCTTTGATCCAAAAATTCCATTACCAAGTTTATACCTCCAAGAAGTTCATTATAAGAAGAAAATTCCCATGTACAGCAGATTATTTATAGTAGCACTCTTATGATAGCCAAGAACTAGACGGATGCCCATTGACTGGGGAATGGCCAAACAAATTGAGGTATATGAATGTAATAGAATATTCCTGTGCTGTAAAAATCAACAAATATGATGAAAACAGAAGTATGGAAAGATTTTCATAACCTGATGCAGATTGAAGTAAGCAGAGCCTAGAAAATAGCATATCCAATGACTACAACTTCAATGGAAAGAATAACTGCAAAACAATCAAAAGTGAATATTGCAAAATTATACAGAATAAGCATAACTCCAAGGAAGAAACATAAGAAGACACCTTCACCTCACTTCTTTGCAGAGGTGGGAGATTCACATTGTGGTACATTGCACAACTTTTTCAGACTTTTTCAATGTGTTGATCAATTTTGCTAATTCTATTTTTTCTTTTAAAAATATTTATTACATATGATGGCTCTCAGAGAAGAAAATAAAAGGAGAAATTTTGGTGACAAAAAGTATCAAAAAAATTTTAAGTAATCACACAGCATTTGGGTTAATTTTGCTGTTCTTTCTGCTTAAATCACTGTAGTCATTGTGTATGGAGTTTTTCTGGTTCTATTTTTTTCTCTCTGAATCAGTTCATAAAAACTTTCTTATGCTTCTCTAGAGTCTTAATATTCGTTATTTTTTTACGGAACAATAATATGTCATGATCTTCATACATCACAATTTGCTTAGCCATTTCTTAATCCATGGGTCCTTTTTTTCCCCAATCCTTTGCCTCTCACAAAACGATATTTTTTGTGTGATGTGGGGAATTTATTTCTGTCTTTGACCAAGTCGAGAAGTCTTCCAGAAGAGACATTTAAAGAGGACTCATATTTGTAAAGCTTTTATTCTTATGAGTAGTACATTCTTTGAAGTAATGATCATTCTGGTGCCTTTGAAGCCCAAGATGGATAACAACCAAAAGGCTTTCTCCCCTTTCCAATAATTCCAGTCTCAAAGAATTATCTTGTACATGTGCCCCATGCAGGTGTCTGCTATGCCGAATTCGGAGTTCGAGTTCCAAAGACCACTGGGTCAGCCTACACCTACAGCTATGTCACAGTGGGCGAGTTTGTGGCATTTTTTATTGGCTGGAATCTGATCCTGGAGTACCTGATTGGCACCGCAGCAGGGGCCAGTGCCCTAAGCAGTATGTTTGACTCCCTGGCAAACCACACCATCAGCCGCTGGATGATTGACAGCGTGGGGACTTTAAATGGTCTGGGTAAGAATCCTAGAAGAGAAACACTTGCCCTTTAGTGGATCCTTACATAGCCATCTGTCCAGACCCCACACAACAGATATATCCTATGGTATTTCAGACTCATTCTACTTCTTACTAATCCCAATCAAATATTTATTAAATCCCTACTATGTGCTAGACACATGGAGAAAAAAGATAGGCAAAACAAAAATCCTGCCTACAAAAGTTTATAATACACTTCAATTGAATTTAATTCATTCCACTTCACACAACCAGAAGGCATAGTTCTGGTCAAAAAGGAGACTGGACCCAAGTTTGAAGGACCAGAGGTAGCTTCTTTTCAACCCAAGTATCTGATTTTATTATCTTAAATGTCAGAGAGTTGAGTAAGATTGTGTTCCCATTGGTGGATCCTCTCCAGAATACTTCTACCATGGCAGGCAGGCCTCTTAGGACCCTAACTTTAAAGCCAGAAAGCACCTCAGAGGCCAGCTAGGTGAACCCTCTTATTTTACATAAGAGGAAACTGAGACCCAGAAACATGAAATTACTTACCTAAAGCAATGCAGGTAGTAAATATCAGAGGTGGGATTTGAACCAAGATCCACTAATTATCATTAATATCTTAAAGTTTGCAAAGCACTTTATAGACATTTTCTCATTTGATACCCACAACAACCCTGTCAGGCAGACACTACAGCTAATATGGTTCCCATTTTAGAGATGGGAAAACTGAGGGTTAGAGGTTAGACAAAATAACTTGACTGCGTGAGTGGTGAGATTTGCACTGATGTCCAAGGTAGTGCTCATTCCACCATATCAGTCTCAGGCTGTGAGGCTATGATCCAGCTGTCTTTAAGAAGACCAAATACATCAAGGCCTAATGAGCATCCCCACTTTTTGCCATGTCCAAATGGGCCTCACGTAATTAGGGACACAAGACATTTTAGAAATTATTGAGTCCAATCTCTTCATTTTACAGATGGGGAAACTGAGGCCCAGAGAGACTGAGTACCTTGCCCAAATTCTCATTATTCATTAGTGATAACACCATGACTAGAAGCTAGGTTCTCTGATGCTCTTCTTCAGTCCTAGAGGGCTTCCCTTGTATCTCCTGCCTTGTCCTTAAAGAAAAGAGCTCACTTGCCACAGAACTCACTTACTAGTGAACAAGTCAAAGAACATCATGCCTCCTCCCCCGCCATACACTTTTTACATATTTCATATTGGCTTACATGTTGTACTGCCCTTTAGCCAATAGAAAGTGAGCTCCTGGATAACAAATACTGTTCTTTTTATCTCTGTATCACCATTACCATGAGGGGATAATACATAGTAGATGCTTAATCAGGGTCTGAGTCAATAAACATTTGTTAAGTGCCTACTGTGTGCCAGGAACTGTACTAAGCTCTGGGGATACAAAGAAAAGTAAAAGGCAGTCTCTACCCTCAAGAAGCTTACAATCTAGTAGGGGAAATAAAACATAAAAAGAAGCTAAAACAGGAGGGGGGGATGTAATAATAAATGTTTGGATGAATAATAGACTGCAGGCAGCCAATGTAGTAGAGGCACTCGAGATCTGGAGTCAAGAACCTGAATTCAAATCTTCTTTCCACCAATCAGTCAATAAATATTTATTAAGCATCTACTATGTGCCAGGCATTGTGCTAAGTGCTGAGGATAAACAGAAAGACAAAAGACAGTCTCTGCCTTCAAGGAGCTTACAATCTAATGAGGGAGTCAGCTGGTTAGCAGTCACGTACATACAGGCTGTAGACAAATAAATAGGAAGTGTTCAACAGAGATAAAGTACTAGAAATGAGGTGGATTGAGAAAGGCTTCCTGTAGACTCTCTGGGCCCCAATTTCCTCATCTATAAAGTGAGGGAGTTGGAATGGCCTTGGAAGCCTCTTCCTGTGATCCTATTTTAATTCAGTTAGCTAGGTGACACAGTGGATAGAACACGAAGCCTGGAGTCTGGAAGAATTGAGTTCAAATCCAGCCTCAGACACTTACTAGCAGGAAAGTCACTTAGCCTCTGTCAGGCTCAGTTTCCTCATCTGTAAAATGAGAATACTAATAGCATATACAACCAGAGTTATTATAAGGCTCAAATGAGATAATAATTATAAAGTACTTAGCAGCATGTCTGGTACATAGTGTGACATAAATGTTAGATATTATTATTAAGCACCTACTGTGTGCTAGGCACTTTGCTAAGTACTGAGGATACAAAGACATGAGAAAAAATAGTCCCCAAACTCAAAATTCTTACATTCTGTTTTCCATTGTCTCTGCACATTTACACACATAGGCAGAAATCTGTCGTTGGAGCATTTTCCAATGGTTCACTCTTCAATCTTCCTTATCAATTTACAAAGAACTTAGGAAGAGAATGTGAAAATGGTGAAACCAAAAGTAGGATCTAACATTTTTAATTAATCATATTATGAAATCTTACAAGTAGGAACTGAGAGAATTTTGCCACATACATGTTATAACAATAATTCAACTTTTTGAGCACTTTAAAGATAGCAAAGTACATCTCTCATAAAGAGGGAAATAGGGAGTACAACGGCTCATTATGCCCATTTTTCAGATGAGAAAACTGAAGCTCAGAGAAGTGAAGTAATTTGCCCCCGGAGAATTGGCTGGCAAGTGTAAAAGCTGAAATCGTAATCTCCTGACTCCTGGCCCTACTCCATGAAAACCAGCATGTGGTTTTGATCACATCTTTTAACTGGTCTGCAGATAGGCACATCCAGCTGCGTATGGGCTACAGGATATGTATGCATGCACATATACATACAGCCCTATTCTCACCAGGCAGCTGCGTGGCACAGTGGATAGAGCACCAGCCCTGGAGTCAGCAGGACCTGAGTTCAAATACGTCCTCTTGACATTTACTAGCTGTGTGACCCTGGGCAAGTCACTTAACCCCAATTGCATTGCCAAAAAAAAAGAAGAAGAAGAAAAACAAATGCTGTCTCATTGTGGGATGCCCATAACCATTTTTCTCTGACTATAAAAGTAATTGGTGCCTACCTCCTCTGTGTTACAGGAAAAGGAGAAGAATCATACCCAGACCTGCTGGCCCTTGTCATTGCTGTCATTGTGACCATCATTGTTGCCCTTGGGGTGAAAAATTCTGTGGGCTTCAACAATGTTCTCAATGTACTCAACTTGGCTGTGTGGGTGTTTATCATGATTGCTGGTCTTTTCTTCATCAACGGAAGCTACTGGGCTGAAGGACAGTTCCTGCCTCATGGATGGTCAGGGGTAAGCTTCTTTCAGAGTCTGGGTGGGCATGGTGTCCCCTCTGGCTGGTAGTCTAACTAAAAAGACAACAGAAAATCTTACTCTGTCCCACTGGGCTCAAAGCACCCTTCTAATAATAATAGCTATGATTTATATAGCCATTAAGGTTTTGTAAAGTATTTTACATCTCTTATCTTATTTGATCTTTACAAAACTGTGAAGTAGGTGGTATTATTATTCCCATTTTACAGGTGAGGAAATTGAGGTTGAAGAACATGAAGGTACTTGCTCAGGATCACACAGCTGGCAAGTATCTGAAGCAGGATTTGAACTGGAGGTCTATTGAGCCACTAGCTGCCTCTTTTTAATGCCTTGTAGTCTCTATTTCAGAATGCATTTTAACTGAGGTTTAGGAGCTGGATGGAGGAGACTGTATTAACAAGTTTGACCATAGCCATCCATTCAATAAGCCAGACATAGCATTGAGTGCTGGGGATACAGAAACCAAAACAAAGCAGTGCCTGTCCTCAAGGAGCTTGCATTCTAAATTGGAGTGGCAGGAATATCCTTTTCGGAATGTGGTGTTGTTCAATTCTCTTTTAAGTTAAAAATGAAAGGCAAGCAAAGCAGATTTTAGAAAGGCAATGTGGTATAAAGAACAGGGACAGGGCTTGGAGTCAGAAATATGGGCTCATAGCCCACCACTGATACTATCTTGTGACCATGGGCTCCTTGAGCCTAAGTTTCCTCATCTGTAAAATAGGGGTCATGCTAACTATAATGCCTTAAGACCAAATGTGCTTCCCTATGGGAGATAATTTACTATTATTTGGTAATGACACTTTCTGACATAGTTGTTGTAAGACTCAAATGAGGTGATGTTTCTAAGGTGCTTTGCAAACTTCAATCATTTCATAAATAATGACTACCATTGGACAGAAGATGAATCCTAGCATCAGGAGAAAATAAGATTTCCAATTCCTGATACTCATTAGTTGTGTGACCTTTGGCAGGTCAATCAACAAGCATTTATTAAGCACCTACTATGTGACAGGCACTTGCTTGGTGCCATGGATACAAAGAAATACTCTCTGCCTTCAAAGAACTTAAATTTTAACATAACAGGTCTGCAACATATACATATATAAATAGCTATGGAATAAATACCAAATAAATGAAGTTGTTAAATGCAAGATACTAAGGGAGGGACATACTAGGAATGGGAATGATCAGAAATAGCTACATGAAGAAGGTGGTGACCCTATCCGGCCTCAGTTCTTTCATCTATAAAATGAGTATAGTAGTGCCTGCAATACCTCCCTAGTAGGCTATTAAAGGGACCAAGTTCTTTATAAACCTCAAAGTGTTGTCACTGTTCACTGGTTCCTTACAGGAGGGAACATTGAAGGAAGGTCTGGTTCACATTTAACAAATTGGCCCTATGTGCTTATTTGGATTTCATGGAATTTGCCAGAAAGTCCTCTTCAGGTAGTCACTGGATGCTTCCTTCAGCACTTGGCCAGTTTTGCTGTTTTAGAGTTTGCTGAAAGTGGCTCCCCCCCAAGGATGAGGCAGCTGTGGTGTGGTTGAGAGAATGATGGATCCAGCAGCAATGATGGAGTCCAAAATCTCACTTTTGCTATTTATTGTGTGTGCGACCTTGGTGAACTAACTTCTCCATTTCCTTATCTGTAAGATGACAGGGTTGTTCTAAATGACCTCTAAGGTCCTTGCTGTCCCTAAATCTACACTCCAATGAAGTGCAGACCCAGAGTGGCGAAGTGATTTGTCCAAGGTCACGCTGCTAGCAGAGGTAGTATTTGAATCCAAGTCTTCTGGTGCCAAATCGAAAACTATAAGTAAGGGTGTCAGATGGGATGCCCTTTCTCATAACTTCCTATTCTAAATCTATGGTCCCATGACCAGAGATCATGTGGGAGAACATGAAATAACTTCATATTTACATTGAAGTCTGCTAATTTCCTCCTTGACCCCAAGATGGTCCCCAAAAGCTATAAAAAAGTAGTACAAACCCTACCAGGGCCCACCAAGTGGGAAATTCTTGGAACACACTCTTACTGTTCTCATCCAGACATAAGAAATAAAATAAGAGTTCAAAGATAAGTGAATAAAACACTAGGATGATGTAGTTTATTGCCCTGGACCCTTTGTCCAGCCTTTTAAACTCCTCTTTTTGAGATTCTTTCACACATTAGATGGGGATGGCAAGTAATTGACACCAGTTATTTTTAAAGAAATAGGAGGTCTTATTTTTGAAAGGCATTTAAAAGAATAGGGTGTGATAGTTAACTATAATGATGGATGAGCCGTGCTTTAAAATAGGATGTTCAACTGTTAAATTTTTATTTCCCTACACAACCTCAAAGTGACATAATTATAGATTCTTGGCACTGAGAAGAATTTTTAAAGATCCTTCAGTTCATTCCATAGTCTTCAAACAATTATTCTGGAATCATTCCAGACCAATTATATGTCTTCTGTTTATTTGGTTCCCCATGGAATCCTAGCACTGAAGACATCTAGTCCAATCCCACCCTGCCTCAGGTGAAAATCCTCTCTACTTCCTCGCCAACAGGTGGTTATTCAATCTTTCCTTCAATTTCTTTATTGATGAGAAACTCACTACTTACTAATTATTTGTCTGGCACTCATTTGCTGTCCTTCATTCTCGAAAAGGACAAAATGACATCACTATGTAGAGTCAAGTTACAGTGCATCGACTGTGGCTGATCAGACCAGCATGAGCTCAGAATGTTCTACCGCAGGTCAGACACAAATAGTCCACATGAACATTTGGAGTGGGTTCTCTAAATTTGCACATCTCACATTTCTTTTGAGCTGGTTCAATTCTGCTTTGCTCATAGAGCACAGCACCTTCTCTGAGGAGGGCACACCATGCTGGGAGGTCCTGTGCCAGAGTCTCCCATGTCATGCAATCAATTCCAAAGTTCTTAAGAGAGACCTTGAGAGTGTCCTTGTATGGCTTCTTCTGACCACCATGTAAATGCTTGCTCTGTGTGAGTTCTCCATAAAATAGTCTTGTTTTGCTGGACTCCACATATTTGTTGTTTGGGTTTTCTCTTCTTTCTTTTTATTGTTCAACGGGAGTGGCAAGGAGAATGGAGAGGAAATAAGTGCTTGTTTTAAAAAAGTAAGTAAGAAGCAACATCTTTGCCTCCAAATGTTAAGAACTGAACTCATTCAAGAAACATCGTATAAGAACTTTATGCAGAGCACTGTGTTGGGGGCTGAGAGAATTTGTATCAGGGTAGAGAATTCCCAGGGCAGAAGTTCCCTCTTCCAAAGTAGATCATCATCTGCAGGTCAGCTAATGATGTCATGGGGGCTCTGAGAGGTCAAGTTGATTAAGGGTCTCATAGCCAGCACATAACAGAGGCAGCACTTGAACCCAGATCTTCCTGAATCAGAGGTTGGCCTTCTATCCACTATTTCATGCTGCTTTCACTGACAAATTTAAAACTGGAAAGGACCATAGACATGATCTATTCAATCCACTCATTTTGCAGAAGAGGAATCTGAGGTCAAGAGGTGAAGTGATTTTCCCAAGGTAGTATAGGTAGTAAAGTGACAGAGCTTGGATTTAAGCCTGTTTCCTCTGACTTCACATCCAAGGGGCTTTCTGTTGTACCACACTGCACCTGGAAAGATAAATAAGACATGATCCCTGCCCTCAAATGGCTTACAATCTAGAAGGGGAGATAAGACACGCAATGCAGATAGATAGACTATAAATTATTATATAATAAGTGCACAAGAGGTCTCATAAAGTGTAATGAGAACAGTTGAGGGAAAGATCACTTCTGATTGAGGGTATCTGGGATGGTTTTATGGAGGAAGTGCCATTTAAGCTGCACCTTGAAGGGTAAATAGGAAACCAACATCCAGGTACAGGAATGATATAAGCAAAGGTATGAAGACAAAAAAAATCACAGGATATTTCCAGGGCACAGAGAGCAACATAGGTCGGCTAGACTATAGAGTGTGAGATGAATAGTTGTGATGAGGCCAGAGAGGTCATTTAGACCCAGAATATAAAGGGCCTTGAGTCCCAGTGTTGTAGTTTGGACTTATCCACCTTTTTTGCTTCTTGGATAGAGCCAGGCCTTGGATCTAGACACTATGCATTTTTCCTCCCTATGTATATCATACTGTGTGTTACCTTTTTAAAAAAATTACTCTGTAGGCTCCTGGCCACTTTTCCAATTTACTAAGGTCACTTTGAATCTGATCCTATTTTCCAAAGTGCTGGACACCTGCCACCAATGTATCATCTACAGGTTTAATGAGCTTGCTCTACATTTCAGTAGCCAGAAATGGAATAAGCAATTGCTGGGGAAGTAGTAGTCTCATGGATGAAGACATTCCCTCCATCAATGTAGTTTGCAAACCATCCATGCCCACTCACCCTATGCCTCTGGTAATTTCACCAGAAAGAGTCCACTCACTATTGATGTGGGGAGGGCATTCTTTATTTTTTCTTGTGAGCCCCATCACAGTGGGGTTCAATGACTGTCCATCACTTAACTCTCCCCCATTCCTGCCACATATCCAGTCGCTCTTTCTATCACTCACATACATCTCTGATGACATACTTTCCATCATTTTTCTTTCCTAATTCCTTGTGCACATTTTATAAGTCTGCTCGTGTTTACCATGAGCCTTTCTGCTGCTCTCTGAGGGACCCTCAAGCTTAAATCTTTGGAGACCTCAGGGTACCACAATGCAAAGCCACAAACTCATGAAAGCTTCATGGTATATTTGGGGAAATACTCTGGGAAACTAGCAAGAATGGTTCCTTTTATCAGCTTTGTAGCCTCTAGCAGGTAGGATGAGCTGGAAAAAAATACTTTGTGAACTGGGACTTGGACCCTATTAAATCCAAGGAGCAGATGTTTAAAGCTAGAAGGGACCTCAAAAGTCACCAAAACCAAATATTCCCTCATTTTCATAGGTTCATAGACCTGGACCTGGCAGAGACC